GTCTTGCAGGCAGGTTAATGTGTTCTGTGGTCAATTCTTCTGAAACAGGAAAATTGCAGGATCAACAGACTACCAAAGCCATAGCCAAATTACCTGCGTCAGAGTAGCCCCCATGAAGTTCCTCTTGACTGCATTGTTTGCTTTTCTTCTCAACATAGTCATTTTTCTTCCTTTATTCATATTTAATTAAACCACTGGTTTCCACGATTTAACCAATTAAACCGGTCAAACCAAAAAAGAAAAATGGTTTGACCTCCAAAGTGGTTTTCAAAACACTAGTTGATTGGATATTACGAAATCGATACTTTAATATCTCATATCTTAGTTAACTTATTTTAATAATGTTATTTTCTTATTATTATTTTCAATAAATTTTTTTTCTAATTGTTCAAATAAATCTAAATTAATTAGTTTTAATACTTAACTAATCACAATCCTTATAAGTATTTGGGTGGAATGACTGCAGTGATGGGTAATTTGTCTATAACCATGCAAAACGAAATTGACAACTAAAGCTTACAATTCTCTGACATGCAGATAGCCATCATCTAGGGTTGTATTAGAGCATGAAACTCCAGTCCAATTGGATGTGCATGGATCTCCTCGATTCCAACTAGTCAAATTTTTATTGGGATCTGTCAAACTTCTCTTGATGGTTTGCAATGCGCTTACTGCAAATTGTAACTAACATTAATTAATTCATCCAAATGAATGTTCTGATTTTGGAATATGAAGGAGTAAATCAAACCCCACAAGATCAAAGTATAAGCTACTGCTAGACTTTAAAAGTAATGGAGCCAAGGAAACTACATATGCTTGGTAGTATTTGCACATATGCATCACATCTCTCAAAAAGTACCTAAACATAGTCCTATTCTTAAGGCACAATTAACATAAACTCTTGGGCATTCTCTGAAAATAAAACAACGAGAGGACAAATGGCGGAAGCTCAAGCGAAATCACCTTGTGGTTTTTACTATTGAATCAAGACACAAAAAAAATAAAGCTACGTACCTTCATCTGGATGAGCTATGGAACTTTGTGCTTCAACAAGCGCTGAAGACAGAAAGAAGCAGCCCAGAAGGACACAGAGTTTTGTTTTGGACATCCCAAGATAGCAGAGTTTACCAGAGTTGTGAAGCATCTCTGATCACTTCACACACAACCAGAAATGGGGGTCTGTCTTTCAGCATAAGAAGAAAGCAACCAAGACTGAAACTTTAACCCCTTTTTTTCATCGAAAAAAGGAAAAAACTTTAGTTTGTATTCATTCAGATAAATGCAAAATTCCTGTGTGAGACAGACAGTTAAAGAGACAATGAGGCATTGCTATATATAATTGTAAAAGAAATAGCAAGGTGGCTTGGGAAGATAAAAAGAAAAGAAAACATACCGTGTAGAAAGGTAACATTGTAGAGACGAGAGGAGAGGTTCTGCAACATGAAATGAAAATGAGAAGATATAATCGAAGTCCGAATGTGACCAGGTCACCCATGGGC